ATGTCACTCTAAAGGAACACTATAGGGTCAGGAACACAAGCATGTGTTCCTGACCCTATAGTGCAGGCTTCCCCAAACTCCGGCGCGCCAGATGTTGCTGAACTACAACTCCCATGATTCTATGAATCAAATAGATAGGATGAGAATCATGGGAGTTGTAGTTCAGCAACATCTGGAAGGCCGGAGTTTGGGGACGCCTGCTCTAGTGTTTAACCTACCATTTAGGTGGCTTGCACCCCCTTCCACTCCTCCTCTTTTAGCCCCCTTAAAAGGTGCAGGGAGGGAAAGCAATTTACAGTTTGAAAAAATGGAAAATCAAGCCTTATATTTGACACTGTAACTTTCAAAACAATATAAAACCTGTACATGAGGGGTACTGTTATATTCGGGAGACTTCATGGAACACAAATATAAGTGTTTCAAACCAATAAAATGTATAACAAAAATGATATCATCAGTACATTATACAAAAAATGTCACTTTCACTGGCAATATCATCACTGTGATATGTTTTACTGTCTCCCGAGTAAAATAGTACCCTTCATATACAGGTTTTAGGGTGTCATGGAAAGTTACAGGGTTAAATATAGTGTTAGCAAATTAAAATCTCTTGACTTTCGGACCGGGTTGTCAGACAGGTCCCTCAAATTGCAATCAATAAAATTACTTAATTATGTAAAAATATTACATAAATATGCACATAGAATTTAAATATATATATATATATATATACATACATATTTATATATTTGAAGTCTACCTGTATATTTATGAAATTATTTATGTAATTATGTATATATATATATATATATATATATATATATATATATATGATAGGAAAAGCACTCCAATGACTTCATTTTCCTGGCACTATAGTGCCCTGAGGGTGCCCCCACCCTCAGGGACTCCCTCCTGCTGGGCTCTGGGGGGAGGAAGAGGTTAAACTTACCTCTTTCTCCAGCGCCGGGCGGGGAGCTCTCCTCCTCCTCCTCTCCTCCCTCTTCTTCCGTCACCGGCTGGATGCGCATGCGCATTCAGCCAGTCCATAGGAAAGCATTCACAATGCTTTCCTATGGGCCGCTAACGTCTTCTCACTGTAAAAAATCACGAGTGAGAAGCGCTGAGCCCTGGCGGCTGTCAATGAGACAGCCACTAGAGGCTGGATTAAGGACCACTCTAGGCACCCAGACCACTTCAGCAATGAAGTGGTCTGGTGCCAAAAATCCAGCAAGGTTAACCCATTGTTTTTATAAACATGGCAGTTTCAGAGAAACTGCTATGTTTATCAATGAGTTAAGCCTTTAAAAAGCCTCTATCGGCTGTCTCATTGACGCTTCGCTAGAGGCAACACTGCGTCACTTCTCACTGTGATTGATAATGCTTTCCTATGCGACCGGCTGAATGCGTGCGCAGCTCTTGCCGCACGTGCATATTCAGCCGATGGGGCGGATCGGAGGCGGAAAGGAGGAGGAGTGCTCCCCGCCCAGCACTGGAAAAAGGTAAGTTTTTACCCCCTTTCCCCCTTCCAGAGCAGGGCGGGAGGGGGACCCTGAGGGTGGGGGCACCCTCAGGGCACTATAGTGCCAGGAAAACGAGTATGTTTTCCTGGCACTATAGTGGTCCTTTAACCCATTTATAAACATAGCAGTTTCTCTGAAACTGCTATGCTTATAAAAAAAAAGGGTTAAACCTAGCAGGACCTGGCACCCAGAGCACTTCATTAAGCTGAAGTGGTCTGGGTGCCTATAGTGGTCCTTTAACTTTATTCAGCAACTGCCACGGATGATCAACGTTTCAGTCCTATGTCAGGACTTTCGTCAGGATACATGTGCAATACAATTGTCACAGTACAAATAACAAAGTAAATCAAATAAAGTACATTGCATACATCTGAGACTTACCCATGACGCGGGTAAATTTGACCCTGCTAAGTGTTTTCAGCAGCTGGGGTTTTTCTGGGGTCTAAGAGGCAGACCACCACGTCGGAGGTAATTCCAGTCTTTAATCTATCTACACATAAACTCAGCAATGCTGAGAATCGACTGCTAATGAAAGGACTATCTTTTTTACCCACGACCTATCCTATCCAGGCCCGGACTGGCCATCGGGCACACCGGTGGCCGTGGCCACTGCCTCCCAGTCTCAGGTGCCAGCGTGCCGGTCCCCCCCTCCCAAGCTAAAGGTAAGAAGGGAGGGGGGATTTAATGCCTGTTTTTGTTTTTTTGTTTGCCCCCCCCACACACACACAATCCATTCTAACATTTATACAGCACTCTCACACCCATCACACACAGCACTCTCTCTCACACATACTGCACCCCTCACATACACACAGAACCCCTCAACACACTGCACCACACACATACACAATACTTCCAAATATATATATACACATATACTACACTCTTAACATATACACTCTGGATCCCCTATACACACACTAGATTCCTTGTAAGCAAACACATACTACACCCCTAAACACACACTACATCACCTATACACACACACACACACTATAGCCTGTATGCACACACTTGCTATATCCCCAATACACACATTATCTACAGCCCATAGCCACATATGCATCACATTGCACCACTTTACACCACAAACACAACATGACTAAAACCAACCTTATTACACAATACCACACCACAATCAGCTCACTCTACACACACGCAATACCACAAGCAGGCTCCAAACACATGTACAATACTCTTTCCTGGTGTCACGGTCCACGCCGTGACATCCAGTCTGCCAGACGTGGTCGCTCTGGAAGCGCCCGATAGGGGATTTGAACTGTGGTTCTTCTGGACCATATCCTGCTGTTCTTCCTCTGAGCCATTTCAGGACTTTGGATAACTCCTGTTTATTCTTGTATTGCCTGCAGCACTAGGGGGCTGGACTTCACCAAAGGCTCTGATCTGTCAGTAACTCTCCAGCTGAATCTGATCCTAATTAACAGGATATAAAAGCCTGCCTCACCCTGGGAGGGGTGTCAGTTCATTGACTCTGGTTCTCTTGTTTTGTTCCTGTTACTCCGTACCTGCGTTCCAGTGATTCTTGTCTTTCCGGCTTCTGACCTTGGCTTTCCTCCTGGACTACTCTGACCTCTGGCTTCCCTGATTTTGGCTTCCCTTGACCACGCTTCTGCTTATCCCTGCTGTACTGAGTCTTGGAGCACCTTTCCTGGAAAGCCCCTGTGCACAGACTCACAGGCCAGGTGGCGTCTTACCTGGTCACCCTGGTCTGTGTCTACTTTGCAAGGGTGAGCGTATAACTCTGCGAGCTGGACTCCCTATCAGGTAAGACTCCGTTACACCTGGCATTTTTGTCTCCTGGTATCCATTTATAGAGACACCAGAGACAAGTTGCAAGGAAACACAGTGCAAGCATGTTTTTAAATTTGCTTGCACTGTGCAGAACAAATACAGAGTTTTTTTCTCATGCTAGAGCTGTTCAGCAGAACTCTGCGCATGGTCTGCCCTGGGAGAGCATTGAACCAACATGCTCACTTTGAGAGGTGGCGTGTTTGTCATTGGTGATGACAAAACACACCTCCTCTGCCCCGCACCCTTCTTAGTGGGCCGCTGTGTTAAAAAAAATGCAGATTTGGGAGAACATTAAGATTGAAGGATTTCCTCAAAACAGACACCCCAGTGAATACACCTATCAGCCACTTTAAACCCAAAAGTACTTGGGACCCATTGCCTAACCAGTCAACCATCAAAACATTTCTTAAATCATTGAACAAAAAAACTCACCTAACCCATGCTAATAAACAAAAATCGAATATCACCAAAGAAGAACGCCAAATTATCGCCTCACTTGCCAAGGACCCTAACCTTGTAATTCGACCAGCAGACAAAGGAGGTGGAATAGTCCTGATGAACTACAGCGACTACAGACAAGAGATCTTAACACAGCTACAAGATACTACCACCTACTCTAAACTTACAGAGGATCCTACACAAGCAATTATGCTCAATATCCAACAGACACTTCAAAGGGGACTAGAAGCAGCTTACATTACACAGGAACTGTACCAGTAGCTTTTACAAAAAACAGAACTCCAGTGACCTGTACACTGCCTAAAATACATAAGCACCCTACCTCACCCCCGGGAAGACCCATAGTGTCGTCAATAGGAGGGGTACTCGAGCCTATAGCCAAATGGCTAGACTCCTTATTCAAGAAACCAGTAGAGGAACTAACAATGTGTATCAAAGATACGCCAAGTCTACTAGCACCACTACAACAGTTTACCAACCTGGAAAAAGGAGCAACATTCATCACATGTGACGTTAAAAATTTGTACACAATTATTCCGCATGACACAGGCATCGATGCGATGAGGAAGATCCTCACGACATTTTCCTCCTACTCGGGACCACCGGTAGAATACATTCTGGAACTGCTATACCTGGTACTCAACCAAAACTACTTCAGGTTTGAACATACGTGGTATCAACAAGTTGCTGGGACATCAATGGGAGCGGCCATGGCGCCAATGTACGCGAATATACTTTTTTACCGTCGTTTTATCGACGATATTATTATGATTTGGAAAAAAGTAGGACCTACCCCTGAAGAAATGCTAGAGACTATCAACAACCTGAACACACCGGTCCGTCTCACCATGACTACGAATGACCAAACTACAGACTTCCTTGATGTACGGCTATAAAAAGAGAGAGGCAAAATAGCCTATACCTTGTACAATGAACCTACAGATAGAAAGACTGTTCTGCATGCAGACAGCTATCACCCAAGGCATCTAAAGAACTCTCTTCCACAATCTCAATTTATGAGGGTAATTAGGAACAATTCCAATGAGGCAAACACACAACTATAGATACAACAAATGTGGGATAAGTTTGTGACCTAATGTCCTCCCCCCTGGCTCCCACCCCTGAGCGGTGGGTGGGGGCCCTAAAATACTAATTGGGGGGGACCTAATGTCCTCCCCCCTGGCCCCCACCCCTGAGCGACTAGGGGTCCCCAAACCCCTAGTCACCCCCCTCCCCCAATATAATAACCCCTACCTACCCCCCTCACCCTAAAAATAATGAGGGGGGACCATTTAACTAAGTACCTGAAAAACAAAACAAAAAAAACTTACCATTTGATGTTTTCTTTCACGAGTGCAAAAAGTAATAATCCATCTTCACCGGGCTCCACGCAGACTGAGCTCTGCAGGGCGGGGGAAGGCTTATAAAGCCTTGCCCCGCCCTGCAATTAGGCTCAGAGCACTCTGATTGGTGGGTTTAAGCCATCAAATCAGAGTGCTCTGACAGGTAAATGAAGAGACTGACAGGTAAGTCTCTACATTTACCTGTCACAGCACTCTGATTGGTTGATTTGAAATCCACCAATCAGAGTGCTCTGTGTCATTTTACACAGCATGAGAAAATTCCAAAGAACTTTCCCACACTATGTAAAATGACACAGAGCACTCTGATTGGTGGATTTCAAACCAACCAATCAGTGTGCTGTAACAGGTAAATGTAGAGACTTACCTGTCAGTCTCTTCATTTACCTGTCAGAGCACTCTGGATGGCTTAAACCCACCAATCAGAGTGCTCTGAGCCTAATTGCAGGGCATAAACTGATATTATGTATGGAGGATGAGTTGAAGTTGTTGATCATAATGAACAAAAATGTATAGGTCAACAACAAAGAATACTAAAACTAAAAATAATTGTATATATGGGCAGCTGTACACCACAGACAAGCGACTAAGATACAAAGAGTAAAATATAAAAATAAAGTGCAAGCGCTCCTAGTAACACAATATGTCCATAAGGTAATAGTTCAGGAAAATATTTATTGGTATAGTGAAAAATGTGAAATATAATGATACAAAATGTAATATAATACAGTATCTAAAAACATCGCTGTTAAAAATAAATCAAAACACTTGAACCACAGATACAGATCTAAACAGCCAAGGTCCTAATGCTGTGAAAGCAACTAGGACTAGACTGTAACAATAAAGGGTATAACCAATCCGAAGTAAAAATGAAAATGCCACAAGAAAAACAAGATAAAATAATGTATATACCAGATATAAATAGCAGCATCCAATGTATTAATGCCGTCAAAACAACTAGAACCAGGATGTAGCAATATGGTGTAACGATATAGAGTGTAACAAGCACAAAGGCTAGATCAAAATTGTAAAAACACAAAAAAGGCATAGGAATACACCTTTGAAAAGAAAAAAACAGATAGAATAAAAATTAGGGGTATATTAGCTAAATAATGAATAGCATAAAAAAGTAATGACCTGAAAAAGAAGTTAAAAAGAAAGGCAGGGCAACTCTATAACCATATACCTAAAGCAGCAATATATAGGAAAATGAGTACAATATACAAAAGTATAGCCGTGGGGGGCCTTTCCACACATATGAAAGCTGTAGTAAGTAATGTTAGCGGTGAATTGATGCTTGAAGCTGTATAGTGCCCAGCGAGCTCAACCCCCGGGTACCTGAGTCAGATGGCACAGTTGTCAAACAATATTCCGTGGATTAGATGAATAGAAGAATCTTCCAATGTTAGCCGTAAAGAGGGAGCACAACCGGACTGGTAACACGTGGTACACCGCGGCCAGTTTCTTCAAAAAACGCAGCGGCAAGGCAAGTGTAGCAGCGTGTAGATGATGATGCAGATGATGATCACGTGGAAAAGGAACGTCTACGCGTTTTGTCTCTTAGCTGAGACCTTAACAAGACTCCAGATCTTCTCTACTAATGAGGCTCATGCAGGATTCATTCCTGTGGAACAATTTGCTAAACATACAATTTGAATAAAAACAACAATAAAAACATAATGCTATAGATAAATATATCTTATAGAGATATATCAGTACCCCTGATTCTGTATATGTTGGAACATATGTTATAATCATATACATAACAAATAAACATATATATATATATATAAATAAAAATCAGGGAGTTAATATGGAATTGGTATCAATTAGAGAACTATTGAAACTATGGGTACATGTAAAAGCATATAAATAAATAAAAATCTGAGGATTAATATGAAATTGGTATCAATTAATTAGAGAACTATTGAAACTATAGGTACAAGTAATATTTGAAAGTAAGAGGTTAATAGTTATATAGTAAAACACAAGTCTATTAGACCAGAGTGTCAGGATTACTGTTTGATCCAGCACGTAGAACTGTACAACACGAATGACAAATAAGTAACCTATTACCGGTCCTTAGAATGGCCGGATTTAACGTACAAAGAATAGTCAAAAATACTAGCCGAGGTCAGGGAACACAGAAAGGGACACAGCGATGAGGAAAGCCAGGAGTCAGGATACCAGAAAATAGAGAAGTCAATAAACAAAGCCAAAGTCAAAAACCAGGTAGAAAACTATAAACAGGAACGCGCTCTCAGACAACCACAAGGGAAACCACGACAGGGCACTGAGCAGGCTGAGAACTGGGCCTAAATACCCCTCCTTTAGTTCTGATAGGCTGTAACCGGCCTTTGACCCCAAAGTCAGTTACCAGGTTTCATTTGCATAATTGCTGCTCAGCATTAACCCTTCTGTGGATTAGGTTGCTGCTCGGCACAACTTTTCCTGTGTGGACAGTAAATGTCATTAATCACTTTTCTCTAAGCGGATGAATACATGACACCAGGTTTCATTTGCACAATTACTGCTCAGCATTAACCCTTCTGTGGATTAGGTTGCTGCTCGGCACAACTTTTCCTGTGTGGACAGTAAATGTCATTAACCACATTTCTATAAGCGGATGAATACGTGACACAGAGATAGCATAGAGTAATTATATTGTTAAAGACGTAGTTGGTCAAGTTCCTCATTAAGGCCATGTGGGGTAAGAGTATTTCATTTGTAAATACATTTGGATTCAGCATCTATGAGAACTCTTCTACGCTTAGCAGTATCCCCAATTTTAGGTATTTTCAATGCCCATAACAGAGACATCTAAGGGATTACTATTGTGCACAGATGCAAAATTACGTGCTACTGAGGACTTTCTAACTTTATGTAAAATCGCATTATCTCACTCCTAAAGTGTCCAAACTGAGTGCATTTGTGACACATAAAACTACACGTGAGGCATTTCAGGCTCCCACATCAAAAATTCCCAGAGGCACTTAGGTTGTTAGGACGGGTTTTATTTTGAGGGTGCCCGTGTTGAATTTTGAGGTTGCCAGAATATTCTTCAGATTCTTACTTTTTGTAATGGTAACCCTAGGTTTGTCCGGGATGCTAAATTTCACTAAGGGATCTAACTTTAAGATCGGCCAGTGTAAGATATCTATAATTTCATCAAATGGACAGTTGAACACAGTAGAGAAAAAAAGGCCCCTTGTTTTAGGATATATCCCTCGTACTGATAGTGTGTTTATAGTGAGTAATCTTTGCATGGGGATGACCTTTTTCCAATAGCTGCAGTATCTCTAGATGTTTGTTGGACTCCTCTAAAAGGGATTGTACTGAGTGACAACCTTTCATAGGGTTCATAGAAGAAGAAGGTATTAGTCGGGCTCTATATGTACTTCTTATTTCCCTATAGGCTGATAGAATAGATTTGGGGGATATCCTTTATCCAGGAAACGGACACTCAACGTTAATGCTTCTGTTTCTAAATCATAAGTCAAACAACAGTTCCTACGTAATCTGGTGAATTGTCCTTGAGGAACATAATGTATCCACGTAGGATGATGACTACTAGTGGCATGTAAAAACCCATTTACATCCACTTTTTTCTGAAAGGTTTTGTGTGAATATGTTCATTCTCTCCCCAAAGTAGAAGGTCTAGAAATTCTATTTTGAGCTTATTTTTATTGCAGGTGAATGCCAGCCCCCAGTCATTAGAATTGAGTTAGACCATAAATTCCTCTATCTCAGGCCAGGCACCATTCCAAATAATTAAAATGTTGTCAATAAAACGACGATAAAGAGGTTGGGTTACGATGGAGCAAAACTTACTCCTGTTGCTGTCCCCCTAGTTTGAAGAAAAAACATGTCATTAAAAGTAAAATAATGTGTTAAAATAAAAGATGTAAAATCTATAATAGTTTGGGCTTGGGTCAAAGGTAGGAGAGGATCAGCAAATAGGAAGTGTTGCAGAGCTTGTAATCCCTTTAGAAGGTTAATATTTGAATATAAAGCAGTGACATTAATGGTGACTCAAATATAGGTGTCCTTCCAGTTTATATCCTGTATGAGGGATAAAACATGACCTGTATCTCGTATATAGGATGGTAGGTTGGGAGCATAATGTTGGAGATGGAAGTCGACCCATTTAGAAAGCGGGGCAGTAAGGGATCCAATAGAAGAAAGAATTGGACGACCGGGGAGGTTTTGAATATTTTTATGTATTTTGGGCAAATAATAAAATAAGGTTGTTGATGATCAACAGTGTCGAAAGCAACAGAAAGGTCAAGGAGAATAGAGAGTAGAGATCCCTGGATTTTGCAGCAATTAAATCACTGGAAACTTTGGTCAGGGCTGTTTCAACAGAGTGACGAGCATGCAATCCACACTGAAGAGGGTTGAGCAGAGAGTTGGATTCAAGGAAGTCTGTCAAACTAGAGTACAATCTGTGTGAATACATTAACAAATGTATGCCCACAGCTCAACCATTGACAGTACTGGATGATCTGAACAAACAGGTCATCCAAAGAAACATA